GTTGAGGCTGGGGTCATTATTCCTTTGCTTTGTAAGAAAACCTGAGCATTAGGAAAAGATTGTGCTACTCCTACCCTCTCCTCTTGAAAGACTTGGAGGCCTGCATTTTTCTTCAGCAAGATCTGGAGGCTTCACTGTACATTACTTTCCAGGCTGTTCCTTGGGATGCAGCTCTTCCTAGACTAGAATGGTTTACCTGGCCTCCCCCCACCAAACTTGGGGAGGAGGGGACATCACCCCTTGCTGCTGGGTGGGCAAAGGTGGCTTAGCTCCTAGGCCGGGAAGGTATAGAACTCTCTGAATCCACTCCATCTTTTGATCTTGGCGTGTGACTGTGGTTGGTCATCCATGCCGGGCAGTTTTCAACATCCACACCTGGGAATGTCAGTGGCAAGAGGAGCCAGGATGGCCGGGTGAGATGAGCAGGCAGCCCCTGAAGGTCCGAGAAGGAGGCAGAAATGAATGGGGGGGAATATTCACGGCAAGGGTGGCAAATGGTAAAGGTTGAGAGGCCAGGTAGATGGCGAGAGAAGGTGAAGGGCTGGGTGAGGGGTGCCCTACTTACACTGTGTGGGGAGACAAAGGGCGATGACTGACTGCTCACCTAGTATTCAGAGGTGGCTGAGAAGTTGTTAGGCACTCAGGTGAAGTACTTCATCTGAAGCAACCAGGAAGGAAGGGAGATAAGCATGGACTATCAGAGTGCTGGCCTAGGGGCCAAAACACCCAAGATTGCCATCCAGAAAAGCTACAATGGAGAGAAATGCCTCATCACTATGATGCCACTATTCAGACAGAGCCCGACTGGGTGGTGACCAGGATGAAGAGGCCTGGCTGTCTTCCTTTCCATGACTTCCGTACAACCACACTGAGAGCCCCTCTGGGATGTGGCCAGCGCCCACCGTGATTACAGGGATTGCAGATTTAAGACATGTGGGTCACATTGGGTGAAAGCTGACTTCTGAGCAAGGAAGACCAGCTGCTGCTTCTACATCCTGAAGGATCAGGGCTGCTGGCCCTAAGAAGCGTTTCCAGAAAGTCAAGCCCTCCATGATCCCCATCCCCTGACTAATGAGCACCCACTACAGGCTCAATTTATGACTTTATAAAAACATTTCCCAGGAGTGGAATGGGTTACTACTGAGTTGATGTTCATGCAAGATTAAACACAAAAGTCAGGTAGTGCTGGCCCCAGTCTCTAGCCTGGACTATCCTGGGCTAGCTTCTAGTGGCTCTCATATGAGAACTATGTAACAGTGCTAGTATTATTTTACTTTTAATGGCTTTTAAAACACAAAGAGATGCTGAATGCTGGAACAGATTACTTTGCAAAGGAATTGAGCGGCCTCCTATCCCGAAGAGTTTCTAGGTGTTTGCAGAGACAGCATGGAAGGGTTGCCATCACCAGACGAGGTTCAAAGTTCGTTTTATCCCACATCTCAACCATGGAATGGTTGCATCAGTCTACAGACCTACTTGCCGTTGTCAAAGACAAAAACAGTCTCAGAGTTTTTCTTCTCACGTCCAGAGATTCCAAAGCCAGGTGAACCACGGGCTCACCTGAAGTGTGACTTCTTCCCAAGGATTGTCACACCAGTCCACGTAAGGGTCTCGTAGGTGCCTTTGTCTATATTCTCTCATCTTCCACTCTCAATTTAAGAAACTGCTCACTTCCCAGCTTCAGTCATGAGAGTGGGCTGAGTCTGGCGCCACCTCCCCGGCCTGAAGTTGCGCAAACCCAGCTTCACCAGAGTACTCTCTTCTGATTGTGACGTTTTGTAGAGAGATGTGAATGGTGGCCCAAGTCACTCCAATAAAGTGTCAAAGTGGTATTGAGGCTACTGGGGTTAATAAAATGATTTCTTTCTTTCAAAGTTGCTAATCTTAAGCCTGGAGCTCTTGGTGGTGTTATATGACAAGTAAGCCAAGAAAGAAAGGTAAATTTGAGAGATGGACAGAAATAAATTCCTAACAATACCTAGTAATATTCTTTTTCTTATTAAGTTTGTTGGTATATTTTCGGTATACAGTACAGTTACATTCATCATTGGGATCTTGTACCTTTGCATGACTTATCTTGGTTCTTATTTTTCCCCATTCCCCTGCCCTCTCTTCAACCCCTCCACCCCTCTCTGTTTACAAAGACATTGTTTCCATGTTTTTCCTTACAGTTACATTTCATTGGGATCTTGTACCTTTGCATGACTTATCTTGGTTCTTATTTTTCCCCATTCCCCTGCCCTCTCTTCAACCCCTCCACCCCTCTCTGTTTACAAAGACATTGTTTCCATGTTTTTCCTTTTCTCATATTTTTTCTTTTCCCTCTTTCCCTTTCCTCTTCTCCTCCCACTTCCTCTTCTTTTAGACCTTTTTTTCCCCTATTACAAAATATCCATTATACATTTTGATCCTTATTTACTTTTAGATTTTCATTACATCCTTGTAAAGGGAACAATCCAAGAGGATGAGATGACTATCATAAATATATATGCACCAAATACTGTTGCACCCAGCTATATAAAACATATATTGGGGCCAGGGATTTAGCTCAGTGTTTTTACCCCCTGCCTTGCAAACACAAGGTCCTGAGTTTGATCCCCGGTACCAAAAATACATAAATAAATAAAACATATATTAATGGACATGAAAAACCAAATAAGCACTAAGACAGTTGTAGTGTGGGACCTCAATACCCCACTGTTACAAATAGACAGATCTTCTAGACAAAAATTCAACAACAGAATACTAGAACTGAACCAAGCTTTTGAACAAATGGACTTAATAGATATCTACACAGTATTCCACCCCACAAAATCAGAATATACATTCTTTTCGGCTGCATACGGGTCATTCTCCAGAATTGACCATATACTAACTAGCTCATAGAACATGTCTAAGTAAATGCAAAGGAACTGAAGTTATCCTGTGTATATTATTGGACCACAGGGCAATTAAACTGGAGATCAATAACCCAAGAAATCCCAAGAACTTCATAAACACACTGAAATTGAATAGCACTCTCCTGAAAAACCAATGGGTCACAGAGGAAATAAAGAAGAAATTAGACAGTTTTTACAAGTAACATTCTTTTAACCACTAGATCCAGCTGATCTCAAGGATTTCCTGAAGTTTGGGGAACCAAGAAATTCAACTTTTCTTCACATCTGTTTGAGTTGGTTATCTGTCACTTATGATCCAAAATCTAATGGCCAAGTCTCCATCATTCCCCTCTTTAGGAGAAAAGTAATATACAGGAAGCAGAGGAAAATGTTACAAATTCCTCTGGGCAGTTGCAGAGGAAACAAGAGTTCACATCCGATACAAGTATCTAGGAGATCTAAAGTGAAAACCCCACAGCTGAACCCACAGAACCAGGAAAGGTGATAATAAATCGTGCTTTATTAGAGATCCTTGCAGTAGGTAACTGGAAGACAGTGGGCCTCTGAGAAAATCTTAGGCACCTGCTGTAAAACCTGCTATAAAACTCCTACTGCCTTCCCAGTGCAGTGGGTAAACAATACAAGCTATGAACAGCAAAGGCCCTCCAAGGTCAACAACCAAGTCATAGAGAATCAGAGACCTTAGAAGCCTTTTGTCTTCATTTTTCCTTATCAGTGATTAAGAAGACAGGCCTGCCGAAATGTCCAGGAATGTCTTTTGTTCTGCTCCCTCATGCCTCTTGAATTCTTTTCAGTCTTCTCTCTTGGCTTCTACCACCAGTAGCTCCAGACTTAGCCAATCTACGTGCACGTGCATCTAACCTTGTCTGGTAGTAACAGAAGGACTCTGTTTCAGTGTCAGGGCAATTCTTTTCACTTTCCTACAAGGGAAACACTAAACGGGGGAAACTTACCTGTTCTTGGAGGAGCTGTTCACGATGAAGTTGGTAATCAGACAGTAGTTATAAAATTAAAAAGTATATTTTTATAGTTTTAAAGAATCTCACAATAAAAGGTTGGGGATGTAGCTCTGTGGTAGAGTGCTTGTGCAGGATGTGAAGGGCCCTAGGTTTAGCCCTAGGTGAAGGAAGGAAGGAAGGTAGGAAGGAAGAAAGGGAAGGAGGGAGGGAGGGAGGGAAGAAATGCAGAGCATTGCAATTCTCAGGTTGCAACATTTCCTCTTAAGATATGCTTATTTCTACTTGTGGCCCTGAAATCCTTGGGTGAGCACTTTTTTTTTTTTTTTGGTCCCCAGTGCAACTAGTGGGATGTGGGATGGGGATGGCAGGGGGCTGCTGCTCCTGCCTCCCCTTGGTCAGTTTCTGCTGGGTGGCCTGTGCCATCAGGCTCCTCAGTGCTGCAATCTGCATGCCAGCTCTCACAGAGTGTTGTGAAGAGGGAGACGAGTCAGCAGATTTGCCTGATGGGAGGTTGGCCTGGCACCAGCATGCTGCTCTGCCTGGCTTCAGGTGCCCAACTGCAGCAAAAACTGGGAAGATGGGGTCAGTGCCACCTCTTGGGTTCTGGAAATGAGCTCATCTCCTTTGGCTGCCCTGAGGAGACAGATGGCCTGGCTAAGAAGGGAGGGGCCTGGAGAACGGGCCAAGTGCTTTGGTGCCCGCACTGTGGGTAGTGATGAGGGTGCCGGGGAAAGTTTGAGGAGCCCCGGCTCTCCACTCTGACCCCACCATGTAGCAGGGACAGGTCTTGATTCCTCTACCACCCTGTCGACAGTAACTTCTTCCTCCTTATTTTTCAAGGATTCCTTCTGTTCCATTTCCTCTGCCCCTTGTTGGCTATCAAAAACCAAAAGACTAAAAAAAATAGTAATTTGGGTAAATTTTTGAAGTGGGGATTTCCTCACAAAGAACCCAAAGGAATGACCCACGGGAACATGCTTCGTTTTGGATGTCCCAGGAGGAGCTCTGTCTGGCTGATTGCTCCTGCTCACTGCTGGTGCCACCTGACTTTTGTTTTTCACGGTTCGGCCTTCAGGGTCTCCATGACATCTGGTGCTTTCCATTGTTTCTCTTGCCTTGAACTTGAGCTGCTCTTTTTCAGGAGCAGAGAAATACCTTAACTGTTGAAAGCAAAAGCTCCAAAGATTTCAGACTCCGGTGGAAGAACAATGAAGAATGCACAACTCAACACAAAGTCTGAGGTCAACAGCAGCTCCTGCCTGGGAACTCCGCTGAAGAAGAGAACAGGCACTACCATCACCACTGCTGGAGAGAGAGCACAGGTGACTGTGCCACCAGCGCGTGAGGGGGGAGACGATTTCATTGACTAGCAGTTTGATCAGCAATATTCTTCCCAACAGTTCTGAGGGGTGAACACTTTCACTGTTTTTTGTTGTTGTTGTTGTTGTTGTTGTTTGTTTTTGTTTTCATAGACGGAGGAACTAAAGCTCAGAGGGATTCTGTGAGTTCCCAGGTCACACTGTTTAACTAAAGATCCCAATCTGTCTCTAGCAAATCCTCAACTGCCTCTCTGGGTCACTGAGGGGACCCCAGTCTAAAGTGGTAAACAACTCCTTGCTAAGTGAATTAGCAGAGCGAGTGTTCAGCTATACCCAGCTTGCCTCCCTGTGGGTGCCAAGCAAGCATGACCCAGCCTTGCAGCTCCCTCACAATGGGAACTCTGTGCCAACAAGGGAAGAAATGGCAAGTCTGTACCTGAGGCACATGTGAGGCTTGCCCTGAGCTTAATTCCCATGAAACTTTATCTTATGGGATTCAAAGAAAAACCAAAGGAAATTACAAAACCTTTCCAAGGCTCTAAGCTTCAGAGCCTTTATGCCAAAGGCCCATTTCACTCCTTCCTTCCTCCTGCATGGGTAGACCTCATTCGTAGAAGGCCACTGTCATCCTGGCGATGTGGACCCTGGTCTTCAGGCCTTTCCTTACCAGTGATAACAGGACTGAAGGGCTATCTGGGGCCACCAACCCCCTGAGACAGCTGTTCCACCTAGAGAAGCACTCTTCAGGCCTGGCTTTGGGCCCGTGGTCACCATGGCGAGGCTGGAATAGAGCCTCTTAGGCCCCAAAGTTGTCCAAACCAATAAAAAAGTCAATTTTCAAGTAGAGGCAACTCAATTATTCATAGACTAATGGTTCACTTTGTAGATTTTCCTTTTTTTTCGCCTCTTTGCTACCCGTCTCTTTGCCAGCTGCCTTTGGCTCCCCTCCCTGAAACACTGGAGAGGAGGTAGGCAGGAGAAGACAGATCGATCAGTGTTGGAGCCTGTTAGGAATCATAGCTGGTTTAAGAACAGGTTGGGTGGATCTTTTATATTCTTGCTAATCCCATTCCCACTTACCATGTGCAGTAGATATCCATGTTCAGTTCTCTGAGCCCCTCTGATTTGCTAATTCTTGCCAGGAGAAGAAACAGAAAGAAAAAAGTGCACTCACCCAGAGCCAGCAGAGTCCCAGGCTGAGACTAGTTGGGTTGAGAAAGCAGCTTCACCCGACATCCTGTTCTATGGGCCTGGGGCCCCCGTGTATATTTATTTACTTGGCATCTTTCAAAAGATCATCTCTATGGTAAATGGCAGAAACTGGGTTTTGAGAAAAGCAGAACTCTTGGGTTTCCTTGTTTAAACAGTTATGTTCCCAAGTCAAACGAAATATGCAAACTACTTAAAAATATAATTCACATACTATAGCAGTGGTATGCTCTTTCCCAGAAAAAAAAAACAAAGACTTTTAAGTTGGGTTGTATTTCCAGTGTAAAGAGCAAAAACGGATGTGATACCTTGACTCCCCTTTATATTATTATTAATAATAAAGCAAACATACTGATACAGAAGTGTCCGGTGCTTTGCTCGATATTTATGAACTACCGCATGTAATCTGTTTTTTTTTTTCATCTTGAAATGGGGATCTTGCCATGTTGTCCAAGCTGATCTCGAACTCATGAGCTCAGAGCACTCTTCTGCTTGGCCTCTCGAGCAGCTGGGGCCACAGACGCGCACCCCTGCAGTTGGCTTGCTTACATCTTTACAACTCTGCTTGGTAGAAACACCAAGTGGGATTTTGGGAAGTTAAGTGACTTGCTCCAGGTTGCTCAGGATAAGGGAGAACTGTGGTCTCATCCAGTTCCCAGACCCCATGGCCCTTAATCTGCCACACTGCTGCACTTTCCTGCAGCGTGATCCAAGTAACATGAGCTCGCATCTCTCATCAACCACAACTACTATCACCGCCCCTAAAAAAACTCCAGGAATGTGCCGTGCTTGTCAGTTCCCATCCCTGCTCCTCTCCTACTCATCCCATAAGTCTCCTGATCCCTGAATTTCTAGCCTGAGACTTCCTCTACCTGGCTGGAGCATCCATCCCCCTTAGCAACAAACCATGCACATTAGGGACTTCTTGCGTGTGTTTTTCTCAGCATTGTTATGTGTGGTTGTTTAACTCTTCTGCATATTTGTTTAATCTCTTCCAGAGTCAGAGTTGAATAGGAAGGGACTGTGTAATACTTCATATGGATTTTAATTTGTCACTTTTCTAGCATGACACTGGGCCCAAATTAAGGTCATAATGTACATTTTCTGATTATTCCATTCACTTTTCATATATCTTCTACTTTTCATATATCCCCAAATTATACAGGTGTTCAATGTTGAGACTGGAGCTGGCAGCAGAGTGAGGAGACCACAGGCACCCTAGAATGTTGGCATGGGACAATCAAAGGTCACCCTGGGAGGTAGTTGTGTAGAGGTGGGAGCACAATGGTCTAGAGAGACAAAACAAAGGTCTAGACAGGCCAGGACCTAGAAAAACTGAGAGTTATGGCTCAGCGTCCAAGTTAGCAGCCCCTAGGAATGTCCTGACCTATGAGGGATTTCTGTTCCCAGGCCCTAGGCTGAGTTCCGCCACCAAGATCCATTCATGCTAATCTGTCGCCTTTGGGCAAATGGCAGCAATCACTCCAACTATTACTTCCCAGTTGTTGTTGGACCTAAGCTGGTTCCCATTGGATAAATCTGCAACAGATTGGAAAGAGAGCTCCCAGGAGACTGCGGGAACTCAGGTCTGGACAGGAGACAGTGGGGTCAGAAGAATGAACAAAGAACGCATTCCTTTATGTGAGACAGTACCTGGGGAGTTATTGTGAAGCATTTGCGCAGTGGGGTTTTTTTGTAGCTCAGAAATAAGAGTTTGTATTTCCCAGAGCCTCTGCAAAGTACTGCAGCTGCTCTAGTGTGGGTGTGAGGAGCTAGGTCTCTTCCAGGGTTCTCAGTCTTTCTTGCCAGCTCTCTGTGTATAGCCTCCAGGACCTGCCATTCCCACTTCAACCTTGAAAATCTTCCTTAATGACACCAGCAGGTGAAATAGCACATGGGTATGGGGGAGAAAACGAAAGATAATGTCGTACTCCAAGCCTCATTCCACACAAGCCCAGGGCACTTACACAAATATTCCATTGGGCCTGCGTGCTGTGTGTGCCTGAGCTGCAAGAGAGAGGCAGCCAGCCTGGACTACCTGCCTCTTTCAGTCTCGGCGTGTAAGGCCTCCCATCCCCTCCACCTGCACAGGAGATAGACAGCACTCCTCAGGAGAGCAGATGTATGACTGTCGTATTTACCATTGCCGGCATACAGTAGATGCTCAGTAAATACTTGTAGAGTACCTGATTTGCATTTCAGCTTTATGAACCTGTTCCTCTCTGCAGTGCTGTGGCTGGACTGGTGATTGTATAAATGTGGCAGGCAAAGTGGGCATAAAGAGTAGAGGTGGGAGGAAATCCACTAACACATATGAAAGCCCATTGGTTCTCAGAGTGCTTTGGCTCCTCTCACTGCCTTCACCTAAAGATGGGAAAGCAGGCCCAGAGAGGAGAGAGGACTTCCCTCTCAGAGCAGCCTTATATTTTCTTCTCACTTTCCTTTCTAAGTAATTACACCTCATGGGTTGCTAAGCCCTATCTCTGGACTGGGACCCAGGCCTTTCTAGACGCCCCCGTATCCTGATTCTCCAATCCCAGTATCTCCTGTCTACTGTGCTTGCTACTTCTACTCAACTTCTATTGCCTGTTCTTTCCTTTCCCTCAGTGTTTGAGGAATTTCTTTGCACTTTGGGCTCCTTAGTCATTACCTACCTCACCTGAGAAGTCTTCCTGGGATGCCTCTAGGCAGCCTTAGAGGTTACTTGTTCTTAAGTCCCAGAGTAGCCTGAGATTTTCTTTGTGTCATACTCATCACAGGCAGTTGTGAGCCATTTGTGTTCTTTGGCTTTCTCCCTCTCTTTCCTGGGGATCTTGGAGAGGAAAGACCTTGTCTCTCACCCTGCCCACCCTGCCAGTCCACCACGTGGAAGAAGCCCAAGGGAAACCACTGAAACCTACTCACACCAGGACCTTTCAAAGAGCTCTTTACAGGACCGGGGATTTAACTCAAGGGTTCTGCCGCCTGCCTCGCAAGCTCAAGGACCCGAGTTCGATCCCCGGTACCAATAAAAAAGATCTTTACATATATCAACTCATTTAATCCCACAAGGATTATTGTAAACAACAACTCCACGAAATGGACGAACATGGTATTTATTTCTTAGCATGTTTCTTATTTCAATCATCATGGCCATCCCATTTTATTGGAGAGGAAACAAAAACACAAGCTAGCAAGCAGCTGGCCCCAGAGCACACAGACGTTATCATCTCACTACCTCTTCCTGCCAGCCAGGCAGTCTCTGTCCTGCTCCTGGACCTGCTCATTCCTGCTTTCTCAGGAATGTTCCTCCTCCTCCACTGCCTCCCAGGACCACTGGCTTCCCATTTTCTGTGTCCGGTTTCTTTATTCTGTGGCCCGAACAGCAGTCCTGGCCTCTCACAGCGTTAACAGCCTCACATAACTAGTGGCATTCCTTTACTTTTCTCTGGACAGGCCTAACACCGCATTCTTTCCAATGTAAGGCGTGCCTTGTTCCCCTCCAGCCTGGCTTTGTGTCTCCTGTCCTTTCTGTGTCTCTCCCTTGTGTTCAGCAGGTCATTAGGGATGTGACAATGCTTTGTAAATGCTTAGGGATACTTTGACCCAGCACTGAGAAGTTGTGCTGCATCTTTGCGGGTGACTGTGGCTCTCTAGCATCAACACACTGACAATACCGGCTGCCCCTCCACTTCTGAGTGTGTGGGGGGGCTCCCATCTCTAGTTGCACACAAGCAGACCGAGGCTGGGACATTTTGGTGTCATGTGAGTGTGATTCTTTGCCCTGCTGTCTGGAGATCAGACCTTATTTGCAGGTCTCTGAGTATCTGGACTCTTCCTTTTATTTCCTTACCTCACCCTTGCAGGAAAGAGATAATTTCGATATAAAACAGCTGTTGAGCTGAATTAGGAAGTGGTAAGAAATAAAACATAAGGGCATATCCATGGAAGAAGCCTGCAGATCAGCTGGTACTGGGATCTCAGATGTCTCCTCTCCTTTTCTGGGCATATCCTTAATGACCCAGCAATTCCCCTGAACCTAGCACCACCTTGATTGGAGGAAGATCAGAGAAAGAGTTGAGAGTTCACTTACTGCATACTCTGTGTGTGACTGGGCAAAGTAGTCTCTTTCTGGGTTCTATTTTCTTGCCTGAAAAATGACATTATTTCTAACCTACCTAACTCCTTCGGGGCTGGTGTGCAGATTAGATGAAATGAGTATGTCAGAGCAACTCCAGAGTACAAGTCACTTCTTCCCTCCATCTGTCTATCTGTCCATCTATTCATTCAGTCTTTCCGTAGATATCTGTTGAGCCCTCACTATGTGCCAGACACCCAGGTAGGCAAATGGAGATGAGTGCAGGCATTTTTGCCAACAGCATAACTCCTTCTCTAGAGATGGTGGGGGAAAGGCCTTAATCAGGCCATTCTACTACTGAGTAAATAAGTACTCATGAGATGTCAGGAAAGGAGTTTTGTTTTGGCAAAAGGACAGATCATGTGACATGCTTTCTTGCTTTTATAACGAAGGCAGTGGTTCTTGCACTGGGATTGGCAGAAGTTCTCTGGGAAGCTTGTTTAACGTGCAGATTCCTGGGAAACAAACCCAGGGAGTCTCATTTATGTTTAGAAATGTATAGATGTAAATGTTTCTTCAAAACACTTTTCTAAATGTTTCTCTTGTAAATGTCCTTTGGCCAAATTTTAAGAGTGACTTAAAGTTAGAGAATGGTCTTACCTGGAGACTGTCACCTATGACATCTTTGCTGATTGTGTGTGTGTGTGTGTGTGTGTGTGTGTGTGTGTGTGTGTGTGTATGTATATTTCTAAGAAATTCCACCCCAGGACATTCCTTAAGTTTGGTGAGCCAATATATTTTCTCTTTGCTTACACTAGAGTGAGTTGGGTTCTTGCCACTTAAAACTACCACATTCTGGTTAACTTAGGGCCCTATTGATCTCTATGGTTTGCACTGGTTGAAAGGTGAATACAAGACTTACAGGAACAAAGTTAGGGTTTATTGTCAGAATCAACATTTGGCATGGTTACTCCAAGAATGGATATGGAGAAGCCCCATCTTTGCAGATCCGTGTACACATTTGCAGGCTGTTTGTGGGCATCTGTGATAGGCACAATTCGTAAACCATGAGAATCAGTAACTTTCCCAAAAATATTACATTTTGACCAAACACGATTGTTCGCCATACCCATGACAAAATAAAAATAGTTATGGCTGGTTAATAAAGGTGCGTAGTTGCAAT